AAAAAGAAAAAAGCCGGAAGTGGCACTGTGGCTCAAGTGGTAGAGCGCTAGCCTTGAGCTGAAGAGCTGAGGGACAGTACCTAGGCCCAGAGTTCAGGCCCCACTATCGGACCCAAAAAGAAAAAAAAAGAAAAAGAAAATCACTATGTGCATTCACTTGAGACCTTTTTCAACCAATAGATATGTACAGTGGCCCATGCTTGTTATCCTAGCTGTGTGCAAGGTTGAGTTTGGGAGGAGTCCTGGTGCCAGGTAAACCCAGACAGAAAACCTTGAGACTTTTTGAGAAAGAAGCTGGCGTAGTAGTGCATATTTGTCATCCCAGCTACAATGGGAAACCTGAAACAGGTTGATCACAGTCCAGGCTCACATCTGGCAGGAAGCAAGGTCTTATCTCAGAAAAGGGCTAAAGGTGCAGCTCAGCAATAGAGCATAAGCCCTGAGTTAAACCTAGAGCCAAAAAAAAGTGTTTTTTCAACTTAAACTCATTGTGTTTTCAGAATTTTTTATTTGTGATACTAGAGGTTGAACCTAGGGCCTTACACATTGTAGGCAAGCTTTCTATCACTGAACTATATTCCTACCCCCTTACATTTTTGCAAGTCTCTCTGTATAGCCAGGGGTAACCTTGAGCTCCTTAGACTGACTTTGATCTCAAGACTTTCTTGCTTCTGCTTCCCAGTGCAGAGAAGATGACAGGCATCCACCACCACACCTGGCATCAATGTTTTCATAATTTTTATCACAAGTATCACCTGTGTTACCTGGACTGTATAATGGGTAAACACTGATTTATATCTGTATGTTATAAATCATTGAATAAGTTCCTTCTCTGGCCCACTCTGGATCTTTCTAAAAGTTAACCACAATGACAGTTTTATCATTTGCTTTAAAAGGTTTCCAGCTGGTTAGTGTCACATCTCAAACTCATTTGTCCTATTTGTAATTTTTCTTGCAACTTATACATATATCCATGTCCAGTTCTTTCATTGTGGTTGGTTAGGTACACAGACTCTGAAGCCAGAATAGGGTATGAAACCCCACATCCAGCACTTCCTAAGTGAACCTTAAACAGATTAATTTTTTTTAATTTTTGGTCAGTCATGGGGCCTGGGTGCTGTCCCTCAGCTCTTCAGCTCAAGACTAGCACTCTACCACTTGAGCCACAGCGCCACTTCCGGCTTTTTTCTTTTTGCTTATGTGGTGCTGAGGAATCGAACCCAGGGCCTCATGCATGCAAGGCAAGAGCTCTACCACTGAGCCACCTTCCCAGCCCTATATTGTTAATTTTTTATGTGTCCTTTTTCTTTCAGTATTAGACATTGCCCTTGTGGCTCACTGTACTAAGTACTCACTGTACTGTTTCAGCCTTTCATCCGCTGTAGCTTACAGTGCAGAGATCTAGTTGATGAAGCAAAGAAGTTCCATCTGAGGCCTGAACTTCGGAGTCAGATGCAGGGACCCAGGACAAGGGCTCGTCTAGGTAAGTTGGCATCTTGGCAGAATGAGGGATGATTTTCAACTACCTTTTACAGGGAACACAATATAGTTGAAATGAACATTCTATATTATGTACAAAAACCTCTTTGCAGATCTGTTTTTAATCTTTGTTGTCTTATCTTAGACAAGTCACTGCCATTCTAAGCTTTACTTCCTCTAACCTAAGAATATCTTCACTATCTCTGTCTCATATCTGTTCTGGGATTATAGCAGGTAAGTACAAAAGGACTTCATAAATTGTCAAGTATTATGTGTATGGTACAACTTTATTTCAGCTTTTTTAGATCTGTGCTTGATAGATTAACTTGAATGCCATGTTGTAAGTGGTATGTTCTCAATCACCTCTCCCCTTTCCTTGTGTATGTTAGTTTTGCCCATTCTAGAATGAAAAGAGGAAGGACTTTTGGGCACATAAAATTGCACTAATTAACTAGGAGAGAGTGAGGGAAGGGGTAACGTTATCAAAAAAGAAATGTACTTGTTTCCTGACTTACATAACTAATCCCTATATGCATCATCTTTAAAATAACAATAAAAAAGAAAAAAGGAAAAAATTACATTAATATTAAAAGATCCTGCCTTTAGACAATTTGCTTCTCCAGATGGAATGTGGCTGCCTGCTGGGACCTGTTAGGTCACTTTGGAGAAGGGGCTACTTTGTTTAGTAAGTATACAGGACAGGTACCCTCTTAGAAAATGAGCTTAACTACATGGCTTATATTTGTTGCCAAGAAAAATTTCAGTGATCTGCTATACCCATCACCCAATTTCAACAATGATCAACTCACTGCTAATTATCAGAATTCCAGACACAATATAATTCTATTTCAGTATATCATACTTTAGTGTGTGTCTCTAAACCACACAGAATCCCTATTAACACATGTGAAAAACCACATGTGAAAATACGTAGCTATATGTGGTGCTACATATCTGCAATTCCAGCACATGGGAGGTAGAGGCAGGGAGATCATGACTTCAAGGCTAGCATAGGCTACATAGTAAGACCCTGTCTCAGAAAAACTGAATAAAACACATAGCATACAGAATTCCTACTGTCATCATTAGATATCAAATACATATTTGCTTAATTTCTTACTGCAATTATTTGTTGTCTATTTTTTGACATTTCATTTCTTCAAATCAGGATTAGCCCTAAATTCACATATTATTCTGAAAAGCTTCCTTTCAATAAATTTAAAAATTTCACTTCATTGCATAAGTTAAACACATTGCCACTTACCTTACTTTTGTGGCACCACTGATTCTCTTTTGGGAAGCAGATTTTCACAAAATTAAGACCAGGGAAACATACAGCAGATCGCACAATGATCTAAACACAACCAACAGTAACATAAGACTCAGAATAAATAAATAAGACTCTGAACTGATTGCTCCCAGTTATCTGACCTACTTTAGAGTGGACAGTGTGTTTGTGGGAACCCTATAACAAGAAACACCTTTGGTGTATTTTTTTTCCTATTGGATAATTTTGGGAAGGTGAGCGTATTACAGAGAATAATTTAGACAGCCTGAATCTTCTGTATGGTAAACACCAAGATAATTTTTTTCATTTGATGGCTGGAAGATCTATCTGTAAAAGATCTTTGTAAGTTTCAGCACTTGAGCATCCATTTTTCTGTTTACCAACAAGGCCCCACACCTGATTCTAACAGGTACTTTTGGGGGTATATATGTGTAAGAAGTGTTCCTTTAGCTGTGTATTAATGCTTTTGAGGGTTCACTTATGTTCTGTGATAATGCACATTGTATATTGAGTATTTTTACAAGGAAGATGTTTGAATGTATTTCAAATAAATATGTGTTTGTTTTTGGTCAGTCATGGGGCTTGAACTCTGGGCTTGGGCACTGTCCCTCAGCTCTTCAGCTCAAGGCAAGCGCCCTACCACTTGAACCACAGTTCCACTTCTGGTTTTTGAGTGGAGATAAGAGGCTCACGGACTTTCCTGCCCGGGCTGGCTTTGAACTGAGATCCTCAGATCTCAGCCTCCTGAGTAGCTAGGATTACAGGCGTGAGCCACCAGCACCCAGCTTTAAATATGTATTTTTTTATTTTGAATATATATATTCTTCTGAAAAACAAGCAAAATTTTATCAGTTGGTTCCTAAGCCTTTGCCATTAACTTATCTTGCAACAAGGTTGCCAGATTGCAAGAAAAAGTAACCTTTTCCTCTCCTACCTCTATCTTCAGGAGCCAATGAAGTGCTTTTGGTGGTTGGAGGCTTTGGAAGTCAGCAGTCTCCTATTGATGTGGTAGAAAAATATGATCCTAAAACTCAGGAGTGGAGCTTTTTGCCGGTAAGTAATGGTAGTACCATTTGTGGGTGGAAAGCGTAAGTGTTCTCATTCTCTGATTCTAGATCATAACTGCTTCAGCTAGGAGAGTAAAGCCTGCTGATAGCCTAATGTTCCAACCAGTGGTATATGAATACAGTAGATCCTAAACAGTGGTTGACTGTTTAGATTACAATGTTCTGCCATAAAAACATCAGTGGCCTATTCAGATTTATTCATTTAGACACTCAACATCCTCCATTGGTCCTGCCAAGTTAAATTATACTACATCAAGTGATCATTTGAAATAAGATGGTATCTTTCTCCCTCAGTTTAGTAAAGCAGGTCCAATGGAACTTATTTCTATTTCAATGCTGAATGAACAATAATAGTTGTGAAAATCCGTTCCCCCCACCCCACCCAGTCCTGGGGTTTGAACTCTGGTCTTGGTTACTGTCCCTCAGCCTTTTTGTGCTCAAGGTTTTACCACTTGAGCCACAGCACCACTTCTGGCTTTTTCTTAGTAGTTTGGTAAGCATCTCACAGACTTTTCTGCTGGGCTGGCTTCAAAACATGATCCTCAGATCTCAGCCTCCTGAGTAGCTAGGATTATAGGCTTGAGCCACTGGCTCCCTGTGTGGAAATCTTGTTGTGGGGCTTGAACTCTGGGCTTGGGCACTGTCCTAGTTCTCTTCAGCTAAGGCGAGTGCTCTACCACTTGAGCCACATTGTCACTTCTGGTTTTCTTTTCTTTTTTTTTTGGGTCCGGTCGTGGGGCCTGAACTCTGGGCCTGGGCGCTGTCCCTCAGCTCTTCAGCTCAAGGCTAGCACTCTACCACTTGAGCCACAGCGCCACTTCCGGCTTTTTTCTTTTTGCTTATGTGGTGCTGAGGAATCGAACCCAGGGCCTCAGGCATGCAAGGCAAGCGCTCTACCACTGAGCTACCTTCCCAGCCCCGTCACTTCTGGTTTTCTAGTGGTTTATTGGAGATAAGAGTCTCATAGACTTTCCTGCTGGGGCTGGCTTTAAACCGTGATGCTCAGATCTCAGAGCTAGGATTACAGGCGTGAGGCACCGGCACCCTGCCTGTGTGGAAATCTTTTGAGCAGTCCTCCTACCCTTTAGATTTTTGAATCATGGCCCTTAGTAATGTGCTAGTACTTTTCCAGTGTATGGAGGCCTATCAGTTTCTTAGTTCATAGCCTTCTATAAAGAAAAGAGACACTCGGATAGGTGGAAACCATGAGGTCTTTGGGAACATTGGAACAAGGCAAAAATGTGCCGAAGATTTGCATCTTTTCTTTTTATATGTGTATGTCTGTCTTGGGCTTGAACTCAGGCCCTTGACACTGTCCCTGAACTTCTTTTTGCTCAAGGCTAGTGTTTTACCACTTGAGCCATAGCTCTACTTCTGGCTTTTCTGGTAATTTATTGAAGATAAGAGTCTAGCAGACTTTGCTGCCCTGGCTGGCTTCGAACCATGATCCTCCAATCTCAGCCTCCTGAGTAGCCAAGATTACAAGTGTGAGCCACTGGCATTCAGTGACTTGGATCTTTTGAAGCCCCACAATGAGTGTTTTTTTGTTTTGTTTTTGGTTTTGTTTTTGGTTTTGGTTGGTCATTGGGGCATGAACTCTGGGCCTGGGTGCCAGCCGTCCCTCAGCTCTTCAACTCAAGGTGAGAGCTATTACCACTTGAGCCACAATGCCACTTCTGGTTTTCTGATGGTTAATTAGAAATAAGAATCTCACGGATGTTTCTTGCCTGGGCTGGCTTTGAACCATGATCCTCAGATCTCAGCTTCCTGAGTAGCTAGGATTATGGGGGTGAGCACCCAGCTACATTTGTTGCCACTGCCACCTCCTCCTCTCCCCGCCCCCACCCCCCCTGCTGTCCTGGGACTTGAACTCTTGGGCTGGACACTGTCCCTAAGCTTTTTGTGCTCAAGGCTAACACTACCATGTGAGCCACAACTCTTACTTCCAGCTTCTAGTTAATTGGCGATATGAGTCACCAGGGCTGGGAATGTGGCTCAGTGGTACAGTGCTTGCCTAGCATGCATGAAGCCTGGGTTCGATTCCTCGGTACTATATAAACAGTAAAAGCTGGAAGTGGTGCTGTGGCTCAAGGCTTTTGCCTGAGCAAAAGAAGTTCAGGGACAGTGCCTAGCCCCAAAGTTCAAGCCCCAGGACTGGGGGAAAAAAAAGTCTCATGGACTTCCTTGCCTCGGCTTGCTTTGAACCATGATCCTCAGATCTCAACTTCCTGAGTAGCTAGGACTACAGGTGTGAGCAACCAGCACCTGGCCAGTGAGCCTTTTGTTTGGTAGGTAGTCTGCTAGAGGCCACTTAAGGAAGAACTGCTGGCTCAAGGAGGGTTCATGGTAACAAAGAAGCAGAGAGACATGTAGATAAAAACAAAAGGATAGCTAAAGGTAAGGCCTGAAACTTGCTTCACTGAAATGCTCTGTACTCTTCTCTCCCAATGTCAAGAGCATCACTCGCAAGAGACGCTACGTAGCCTCAGTATCCTTACATGACCGGATCTACGTAATTGGTGGCTATGATGGCCGCTCCCGCCTCAGTTCAGTGGAGTGTCTAGACTACACGGCAGATGAGGATGGGGTCTGGTATTCTGTGGCCCCTATGAATGTCCGACGAGGCCTTGCTGGAGCTACCACCCTGGGAGGTAGGCGTGGCTTCCAGGCAACGTTTCCATCTTGTAGCTGGTCAGTATTCTTGCCTCTCTTATTTTCTGGCAGGAGTATGAAATATGGAGGATAAGTTGGTAAGATCAGATATTCCATTTTGTTTTTGTAAATATCAAATTACAGAAACTGTTTCATAATTGTGAATATTTCAACACTGACTGCAGAATTGGTCATTCAGGTTCCATTGCATTATACGGGAACTAACACTTAATTGTAATTTCACACATTACTATGTTAGTCTTCAAATGCTTTTTTTTTTTTTTTTTTTGTACCAGTCTCAGGACTTGAACTGAGGCCTGGGCATTGTTCCTGAGTTTTTGTGCTCAAGGCTAGCACTTTACTACTTTGTGCCACAGCTCCATTTCTGGTTTCTTGGTAGTTAATTGGAGATGAGAGTCTCACAGACTTTCTTACCCCAGGCTGTCTTAGAACCATGATTCTCAGATCTCAGCCTCTTGAGTAGTGAGGATTACAGGGATGAGCCAGGAGTACCTGGCTTCAAATGCTTTTAAGAATTCATCTTAAGCTGGATGTTAGTGGTTCTTTAATCCTACTACTCAGGAGTCTGAGATCTGGAGGGCCATGGTTCAAGGCCGTTCTGGGAAGAAAAGTTCTCTTATACCAACTCCAAATAATCAACAAAAAGCAAGAAGGAAGGCATGGCTCAAGTGGTAGAATCCCAGCCTAGGACGTACAAGGTCCTGCATTTTAACCTTAGCACTACCACCAAAATAATAAATAAAATTTTTCTTTTTACAGCATCCTTCTCCCCTCTCATTCTCCTACCCCCTTCCTTCCTTCTGTATTCTTTCTTCTTTTTCTGTCAATCAGGGGACTTGATCTCAGGGCCTAGGCACTGTCCCTGAGCTGTTTTATTCAAGACTAACACTCTTGGGGGGGAGAGAGGTGTATAGTTGAGGAGGTGGGAGGGATGGGATGGTAGGGGAAAAACAAAGGAGACAACAATGCTGGATAAGAAATGTACTCATTACCTTGTTCATGTAACTGTAACCCCTCTATACAGTATTTTCACAATAAAAAACTTAATTAAAAAAAAAAAAGACTAGCACTCTACCACTTTGAGCCACAGCTCCACTTTCAGTTTTTAGGTGGCTAATTGGAGATATGTGTCTTGTGGACTTTCCTGCCCAAGCTGGCTTCAAACTGCTGTCCTCAGATCTCAGACCTCCTGAGTAGCTAGGATTACAGATATGAATCTCCACTGCCCAGTTTCTCCTTTGATTTACTGTGCAACCCAGGCTGAGCCTCCCGCCTCTATCATGAGTGATTATAGCCATGCACCACCACATCGAGCCTATGCAATTCTTTTAATGTCTGAGCTGTGCTATTTTTCTTGTCTCTGAGACTCAAATGATTTATCCCATGAAGAAATACTATGCTGTATCAGTGGCTCACGCCTGTAATCCTGGCTCCTCAGGAGGCTGAGATCTGAGCCCTACAGGAAAGTCCTTGAGCCTCTTATCTCCAATAAACCACTTAGAAAACAGGAAGTGGTGCTGTGGCTCAAGTGGTAGAGCACTTGCCTTGAGCTGAAGAGCTGAGGGGGACAGCGCCCAGGCCCAGAGTTCAAGCCCCATCACTGACAAAAAAAAAAAGAAAAAAGAAATACTACGCTATGCCTCCAGATATCTGAAGGACCTGTGGGGAATATGTAGAGAAAAGAGTTCTCCTTATTTAATAGTGTGTGATTTGTTCATTCTGAACAGATATGATCTACGTCTCTGGAGGCTTTGATGGAAGCAGGCGTCATACCAGTATGGAGCGATATGACCCAAACATTGACCAGTGGAGCATGCTGGGAGATATGCAGACAGCTCGAGAGGGTGCAGGACTGGTTGTAGCCAGTGGAGTGATATACTGTCTAGGTACTCAGTGTGGGATGAAGGGATGAGAACCTGGGTTGGTGGCTCTGGGTGGATCCTCTCTTTTTTTTGCCAGAATTAAGTTTATAGGCATCCCTCTCCACAGCCTATACTCTTGCTCAGTATATTCTTCATTAACTGGCATTATCAGAAAAAAGTAGAACACTAGTTTTTCTCTGGGTTATTAGAACAAAATAGCAAAATTAAATTAACAGAATCAGGTAAAGCACTCAGAGAAGGCCACCTTCGACTTACCCTTTTTTTCTAAAATGATCTCTACTTTGTCTTCTAGGAGGATATGATGGCTTGAATATCTTAAATTCAGTTGAGAAATATGATCCCCATACAGGACACTGGACTAATGTTACACCAATGGCCACAAAGCGTTCCGGTAAGACCAAATCTGAGGAAGCCCATGATAAACCAGGTGGATAGTGTGGTCACAGAATAGGGTGTCAATGAACCAGAGTTGTAGTTCCTGTTCCCTGGGAACCTGTATAAAATTAGGAGTCAGATTCTAGTCTTCTCTGTGCATTTCTCTTCTCTAAATGTTAGTGATGATTAAAAAAAAAACAAAAACTTTTAACTTGATTGTAAATTTGAGGAAAGCAGCTTTTTTCTGAATTTTTCTCTCTTCAAAACTTGGGTTTGAATTGCTAGGCAGGTGATTTACCACTTGTATAATTTCCCCTCCTTGACCCCCCTCCCAAATCCTTTTTAAGATACATATATATTTTTTAATTTAATTCATTTTTGCCAGTCTTGGGTCTTGAACTCAAGGCCTGGGCACTGTCCCTGAGCTGCTTTTACTCAAGGCTAGCACTCTACCACTTGAGCCACAGGGCCACTTCTGTTTTTTTCTGTTTATGTGCTACTGAGGATTAGAATCTAGGGCTTAGTGAATGCTAGGCAAGCACTCTACCACTAAGCTACCTTCCCAGCAACATTAGCTATTTTTCAAATAGAGTCTTATGTTTATGGCTGGCCTGGATCCTCTTATTTACACATCTCATGTATCTGGGAAGACAGGCATGTACCATCATACCTGGCTTATTTGTTGTCATGGGATTTCAAACACCTTTTTCTGGGCTGGCCTTAAACCACCATCCTCCCCTTCTGAGTAGCTGGATTATAGACATGAGCCTCTGTGCTTTGCTTTTTTTTTTTTTTTCCTCCTTCTTTCATTTACCTGGTGTAATTTTGTGTATTGAGTACTTGATAAGTAAATGTTTATTAAACATAATCTTGGGTCTGGGAATGTAGCTTAGTGGTAGAATGCTCACCTAGCATGCACATAGGCATAGGATTCTTCAGTACCACATACACAGAAAAAGCCAGCAGTGGAGCTGTGACTCAAGTGGTAGAGGGCTAGCCTTGAACAAAAAAGCTCAGGGATAGTGCCCAGTCCCTGAGTTCAAGCCCCAGGACTGCCCCCCCCAAAAAAAATCATCTTTAGTGTAATATAATGAGTAGCTATTACTGTCACTGAGAGGTAAATAAAAAATTTTGGTACTGGGGACTGAACCCAGAGCCTTGTTTATGGAAATGAAGTGCTCTGCTTCTGAGCTAAATCCCTATCCCTTTTTTGATGTGGACTAGGCTGAGAAGAAAGAAAAAGCACTATACAACTCTAGTTTATATCTGTCCTCTAGATAAAAATGCCTCAGAACCATAGTCACAAGTCCTTTTCTTCCTTTTACCTGTGCTGATTCCCTTCTTTCCTTCCTCCCTTCCCTCCCAAGTGAAGAAGAGGATAGTTGCAGTTTGTTCACAGATGGAGTGACTTGTGCTATACTATATTACTCTAAACCTGTCTGGACCATGCCCATATCTCATCTAGCTGTTAGTGACTATGTTGTTTTAAAATTCAGATGCTAGACTTAGTAACATTCATTTGCTAATACCCTCTTTTTCCCCAGGTGCTGGAGTGGCCCTACTGAATGACCATATTTATGTGGTGGGGGGATTTGATGGTACAGCCCACCTCTCTTCTGTTGAAGCTTACAATATTTGCACTGATTCCTGGACAACTGTCACTAGTATGACCACTCCACGATGCTATGTAGGGGCCACAGTGCTTCGGGGAAGACTCTATGCAATTGCAGGGTGAGGATTCAGAGACAACTAGGTACTCATCATGCCTCCAGAGCAAGAGTATCTGTGAGGCGGTCCTCATTTTGGAAGTCATGGTTTGGGTTGGGGGAGACATTGCCAGGGATGACTTTAATAAGGACTTATATTAGAAGGACTAGGTAGCTCATTCCTTTCTGTTGCTTTTCCCCCTCAGATATGATGGGAATTCCCTGCTGAGTAGCATCGAGTGCTATGATCCTATCATTGACAGCTGGGAAGTGGTGACGTCCATGGGAACCCAGCGCTGTGACGCGGGGGTGTGTGTACTCCGAGAAAAGTGACCACTGTCGGAGCAGCATCCGGAGCTAGCAACCAGTCCCAGGGACACTTTGTGGGAGAACCAAGGATCCTTTTCAGAATGTCTGTATCTCACTGTGTGCACAGGGTGATTACAGGCACCAGTGCAGTGATGATTGTATGTATTTGACTGACCCACTCTCTCTCTTGTGCTGATGGTATCCCTCTGAAGGGTGAGTCACAGATGCTCCAGGGAAGAGAATGTACATTGAACGGGTGTGAGACCAGGCCTTGCCTCCCTCTGGTCTGGGGAGCACTTCCTTGTCCTTTCTCACGTACCTTGTACTTGGGAGAATATATGTATATGTGTATGTTGTGCCTCGTATATTGCAGAGAACTCTGAGTATGGCCTGCTACAGGGGACAGACAGTAACCAGCCTAGATCATTGGAAGGATACCAACTTGCATAACTTGGTAAAAGCCAAGTCTTTCCTTTTCAATCTTTTTTCCATGAACAAATATGTTTTCTAACCTACAGGTAGCTAGAGGCACCACAATTCCATTCTTGAGGAAAATGAAGGGAGAGCCTATCAAGTTGGAGGTTAAGGGGAGAGATTCATATTATGCTCTCTTAGGGAACAGGGTTGGTACACCAAAAACTGAGGGTAGAGAAAGTAACCTGCAAATGAACTCGATGGGACGCAAGTGAGCCTGGAGCACCGCTGAAGGGAGCCTGGAGGACCGAGAAGGATGTACTGTTGGAAGGATCTTTTTATTTCCCCAAGGTCTTTCTAAAGTAGAGTGGTGAGCATCTTGGCACTGAAGACTGTCAGAGATTACAGATGAATCCATTGTTGAGAGAGGAGAGGACAGAAGTGCGGGAATTCAGTGTACCTGGGGATAAACTACAATGTCTTACTCCCTGCCAGGGCTCATGCAGCCATGGCACTGTTTGTCTTGAATGGGTAAATGACCATCTTTTGTTGTTGTTGTTGAATCACATACTGCTATATTACTACACTCCACACTTATTTATTTGGGGATGGGTTGGGGGTGTCAGCAACCCAGAAGTTCAGCTACCTGATTACTGCCTCATTCTTTCAAGGGTTTACTTCTGCTGAGAAGTGTTTTTCCTGCTGTGTGTGGTGCGTTTAGTTCTCTTCCTGCTACAAGTTACACTTTGTTGTCTTTGGAATGAATTGTATTCATCTCAAGACAGGATAACTAAGGACAACCAAAATATTTCTGTTCATTCCCGTACCTGTGCTATCGCTATTTCTGAGCTGTTCTTCAAGGCTCCTCTATATCTCGCAGTGATTTCTTGCTTTATGAGTGCTGGCAGTGTGGGAATGTGATAACCTAAACAAGGTTGCCCTTTCCCTTTGCTCTGGAATTCCATTTTTTCCTGCTGTCCCTAAGTTGTATTGACCTATGGAGTTAATTTCCTTTGTATTTTTTTAAGAAAATAATAAAAATCGGCTGTTTCAAATACTTTTAAGAGAGTTTGTGGCTAACTAGCTCTGCCTTCAGAAATCAGCCTGTTCACCTCATGTTTGCTTACTAGCTCTGCTGTTTCTTTTTTTTTTTGGTCGGTCGTGGGGCTTGAACTCTGGGCCTGGGCGCTGTCCCTCAGCTCTTCAGCTCAAGGCGAGCACTCTACCACTTGA